TCAGCCAGGGTTTCGGGTGAGCTCATTGTGAAACCTGGCCCCACCTTATCATGTGATTTACTGAGGTCAGATGGCCCAGGGTGTGAGTGGGCGTTAAGGCGTCTGGGAAGGGATCTCAAAACTGGATTATAGATGGCAGAGAGTTGGTGTCGTAAACCCCCGCCTCTGTTCAAAGATGGTCGCTCACAGTGGACATAGATGGCTTCTTTCACTCCTCTTTCAAACCATCTGTCCTCTCTGTCCTCTCTGTCCAAAATGTGAATTCTTGGCTTTTACTTTTCAAATAACTTTCCCACTTTGTGTTTTGCTCCACAGGGAGAAGAAGGCAAGACTGGTTCACCAGGGAAGAGGGGTCATGTTGGAAGGAGGGTAAGGTCAACGAAAGGTTTATGTAATGTAAGGATGTAGCGCCATAGTTTAGTCATTTACACGCTAACAAGCAAAATATTCCCCGTGTGACTGTGGGAGGAGGAACAAATTCTCTGGGAGTTATGTTGAGAAGAGTATCCACTGTATACAAAGTGACTGGAACTAGCTTTAAGGATGTAACAGTGAGTCCACAGTTGTGATGAAGCTAAGATGATCTCTATATTATCAATATTATTACTTTTCTTTTTTTATCATGGCGTATTCATCCTCAGGGAAAAAGGGGAAAGGCTGGAGTCACAGGGCCCAGGGGAGAGAGAGGACCAAAGGTGGGAACACAACTATATGCTTTGTGTAACCCCTACAGTTGGTTTAAATATGAGATATGACCTAACAGTAGACTGTGCTTTATTGTTTAGGGTGAAAAGGGAGACACAGGACCGGTGGGGCTCCCTGGATGGTCAGGACTCATTGTAAGTGAATTTGCGCACCTACCCATCCATACATCATTGTTGAAATTGCTTCTTCATTGGTCTACCACATTCAGTGAGTTGGAGACAAATGGATGATTTTAACAAATAGAATGCGTTTATTTTTATGTGATGTGTTTTTGTGTTCTTTACCAAGGGAATCCCCGGCTTACGTGGAGAGTCAGGTGATCAAGGTCAAAGGGGTGAAAAGGTAAACAAGTGAAAAGATAACGAAGACCGACTACAGTACTGTTCAAAAGTCTTGGGTCATCCCTTAGTTCTTTATGTTTTGCTTCCAACTACTTATTCAGACTTTCTAAAGGTCTTTCCAAGTGTCTTTCATCCTGTCTGTTAACATATGTTTCATATTTTCTTAGGGTGACAAAGGAGACATGGGACTGCCTGGACTACCTGGAGTTGATGGCATGAAGGTAGGAGCAGTTAACAGATTTAAACAGAAAAACAGTCGTAAACAAAACAAACAGGATCATTTAAGTTGTAGTCTTTTGTGGTATGTAAATGACTGTTTAATATGTTTGGATATATCAAGATAATTTGGAAAATAACAAAAGGAAGACAAATGCCAAATGAGATTCACATAGTGGTTCATTCTGATCAAAGAACGCTCATCCAGGTGGTTCTGGTTTTTATTTACTGGGGCCATTAAAAACACTAGAAACATTATATCACTGCTGCTTTGGGATTTTCCTTTTTTTAGGGTATCCGTGGTCCTGTTGGATTGCCTGGTCCAGAGGGTCCAAAAGGGGAACAGGTACACAAAAAAAGACTGCAGCATTGTTAGCTCTCGGGTTTAAAGCCTTGAATTTTCCCATGTGTAACTGTGTTTAAATGATGTTAAAGATTGACAGATGTTTATGTTTCTCACTATACTGATGTTGTCTTAGGGAAACATTGGTCTGCCAGGGCCCAGGGGCATGTCAGGGATGCCTGGATTGCCTGTAAGTATTATCTCTCTCTAAATCTTTAATATACTTTTGAGTATGGCAAGCTTATGCAACATGTTTTATTCATGATACATTTTTTCAGCCCTCTTTAACTGTTGTATTTTTCTTTTTCTGTTTGTCATTTCCCCCCTCTGATATGCAAAGTTTAGTCAGGAAGATATATCTTGGACTTTTTCAATATTTTATGTTTTCAATTCAAGAATTTCACATGTTTTGCTCAGACACTTTTTGCCAGGGTATGTCTGAAAAATGAAGACAAATGTTATTGTTTTATAATAACCGCTGCAATTTCTGCATAAAGGCAGACTGCTGTCTGTTAGCCTACCCTGTTCTTCAGCTACCAGCCTGTGAAATCAATCATCATTCAGAAGCACTTTATAACTGTTCAACCCACTGTGTCTTAAGAAAAAAAAATGTCCATTGACTAAGATTATAAAATCAGCAAGGGTACAGGTGACAGGCTCTTAATGCAGCTGATAAAAGCAATCGGAAGTCGATAAATGCACTTCATACTGAAAAATCACACTAATGCCCTTTTCTTCCCCTGTCCTCTGTTCTTGCAGGGTTTGTTTGGATTAAAGGTATGAAATCATCACCTCCAGCTCTCTTGTTCTTCTATATCAAACACTCTTCAGCTCTTACTCACCACTCTGTGAAGAAAATGGCCTGTTCCCCCTTTTTTAAGTGACTCACATAATCATAAAGATGTCACACTTGGAAGTTGGCAGTCTAATGTGATCATGCAGCAGTCTTTATTTCCTTATCGGTGTATGTGATAATTAACAGTTTGATATTGCCATGTGGAAGAGTACGGAATTGTATTGTTATATTGTTGCTATTATATATAATTCTCCCTGCAGGGATTGAAAGGCTACCAAGGTCTGCCTGGTCCACCTGGCAGGAAGGGGCTGCCGGTAAGTCTACAACAGATGGGTAAAAAACACTAGGTTATCATGTTTGCTCTAACAATGCAAACAGTTTTCTGTCTGTTGCAATACCTGGGTGCAGGGCTTTCCCATCTTTCCTACTTCATCTGATCTGGGTGGAGTAGAAACTGTGTTTGCCCCAAATTTGCTCTCATGGGTTAGCAAAGCTTGGTTGGAAAGCTTGAAACAAAACCCAAACAAGGGTGTACAGTTTAATTCTAATTACCCTGAATTACATTATACTAAGATATTATAACAGAATTATTCCCAGTTATGTCAAATGATTGATATAATACTTTTTATCTATTTTGGCTAGTTTATAATAGTTTAGGTTTAGTCATTTGAAGGTTAATCTTGTGTTTTAGGGTCCACCTGGCATTCCCGGACTTCCCGGAAAGTCACTGAACATGACCTTGTCTCAGCTCAAGGCAAGTAGTTTCTAAACTGTATTGCCAATTATATGTTGGAATTGTTGTTTTCTGTTACGAAATATTCGATTAAAATTGCACATTAAAAAACATTTCTTTCCAACAACTGGAAACAGTATGTGTTTAAAAAAGAAAGACAGAAATTAAAGATATAGAGATATAAAGAAATAAGAATTTTTTAAAAACCCCTTCATATCAAAATCATTATTTTTCATTAAATTTACATGGGCTCTAAACATTAAACTTGGCCGAATCATATTCTCCTCATTGTCTTCCCATATCCAGGACCTCATGTACATGTCAGATAAGCCCAACTACCTTCTGATCCAGACGTTGCTGGATACTCTTCAGGAGGAGCTTCGGCTGCTTTTGGATCCTCCTGATGGCAGCAAAGAGCATCCAGCTACTACCTGTCTGGAGCTCTGGCTCTGTCACCCTGAATACAGCAGTGGTCAGTTACTGAAACTTTAAAGTAAACACTAAAGCAACACTGAACGATTGTGAACGATCCCCAAGCTAGATGGAGTAAAAAAAAGGGTTAAATGAGTGTCTCCTGCTCCATTACAGCTTTGTGCTGTAATAGAATAGATTTACAGAATAGAATACATTTCAGAGGAAAAATGAAAAAAGATTAGTTTATTTTTCTCTTATTTGGTTTTGAGTAAAAACTAAAGTGAGGCTTTGTAGATGATTGACCTGTATATTCTCTGTGTAGTGTGGTTCAGCGTGTGGTTTAGGCCATCTAAGCCAGAACTTCACCTTACAACAAAGCGTCCATCTGTTTTAGTACTTCTAAAATAATTTGAGTCATATAATCAACAAGCAGAATCTATTAGGTTCACCTCCACCTCTTTCCCAAGGTCAGCTCTGATAGGCTCCCTGTGCTCATAGTTGGATAAGCTGCTTAAGATTATGGATTAAACCTATTTATACTATTTATACATACATATTGTTATTAGAGCAAAACCAGTTGAAGTGCTTTGGTTTTTAACATTACCCCTGTACTTCACCTACCTCCGAAGCATGGAGGGTAAGTAGCCTTGTGAAATGTTTGCATTTATTTAGGCTCATTTAACACAGATGGTAGATTTAAATTCTTGTCTTGCTGTTTATGCTTTACTGCCACTTTGCTAAGAGTCCCTAAGTGCTGATATCAAGTCTCAAAATCAGTTTGTTTCAAATAACATCACCCAGTAAAATGCATGAATTCTTTTCCCAGCAGCATTGTGTATATAGAAAAATGCTTTGTTTTAAAATAAATGTTATTTTCCATTTATGACTTTTTTCCCTTTGAAGAGATTATTAACTTTATTTTATCTATTTTATCAGCATATAATATATTGACAAATACATACATACTGTATATGTTGGTACATATATTAAGGTATATTTGTATATAAATGATAATGAATATGGGTAATTCTATTTGACTATCAAAGATCCAAATTTGCAGATCGTCAGCAATCCTGTTGCTTGTTGCCACGGGGATATTAATAGTTCACAGAAGACATATTTTTACACTCCAGCCTCTTTAATGCTTTCCTTTTACAGGCCAGCATGTTGAAGTTCTTGTGCTCCCTGTATTTCACTGCTTTTACTGTCAGCATGGAGCATACTGTAATACTTTGATCCCTGGGTTTCTCATTCATTTCCTGCTAACCTTTCTGTACAGGAATGTATTACATTGACCCCAACCAGGGCAGTCCTGCCGATGCCCTGCTGGCTTACTGCAGCTTCTCTTCCACATCAAAACAGACCTGCCTTCATCCTCAAGACTCTCAGGTATAAAGACATCAGCAGAGAAAGTCTGCAGGAAATTGTACCTCTGAATCAAGGACATGGCCACTATCATTTAATGTATTTGTATTGTAGGTGAATCGTCATTCACCTCATGCTTCTGCAGTAGTGACTTTAACTTGAATCTGTATCTTTGTCTCTAAACAGGAAATTTCTTTTGCACTTTTACACTTTTTCTCCTTTTTTCAACTTAAGTGTGAATAGTTATGAAGCTATGAGTGGGAATAACGTAGTAATAAGCACTTAAAAATGTTTGATTTGCTAATTTCAATGCTGAGATCTTCTGTACCCTAGAAATGATCAGATTTGACAATTCCAAAATTTCTTGTCTCTTATATAAAACTAAATTCAATGAGCTACATCAAGTATATTAGATAAAATGTATTTAACTGAATTTGCATGTCACCCCTCATTTATTAAATGTTTCAAATTTAATCTGTTTGCATCAGTCAGAGGTATGCATGAAGAAAACTAAGTTGTCTGGTTGCAGGAAGGAATGAAGCAATGCATGGCTAAATTACTTTATATTCATCTGAAGGGTATCAGGTCATGTAAAGGACAGAAACTATTATTATTCTCATTGTATTGTGTTTTCCTGGTTTCATGGTTGGTTCAGTCTGTTTAAAACCACAAAACACACTCACCTTTCACCCTATCTACTCTAATATAGTCCAGCCTACATAAATAATTGACTCACTCAACCAAAGAGAAATGTGAATTGGTTTCCGTTAGCATGAGTCGAATACTGCTTTAGTCATGTCTGAGCAGCATGGTAATTCAGGATTTCATTAGCAACAGTCTGAAAACGAAATTGTGCCTTCTTTTCATCTGCCTACAGCTGCCAACGAAAGCGTGGATGGAGGACTTTTCCGAGGAAGGATCTTTTCAGTGGCTCAGCAAGCTGAATCAGGGATTTCAGGTGAGTGAATACCTCTGGGTGGCACTGCCAAAATTAAACATTAATTCTAGGGCCTGGGTTCTGCTAGGCAAGAAGTTCTTGGTGTTACATTTATAAAGTTGGCTAGATGAACAAAATAGGCAAAAGTTTCTAAAGTGGGGAAAATGTACTCTCACATTATTAGGTAAACATGTTCAACTGCTTGTTAACACAAATATCTAATTAGCCAATCATGTGGCAGCAGCTTAATGCATGTAGACATGGTCAAGACGACCTGCTAAAGTTCAAACCAAGCATCAGAACAGGGAAAAGAGACACTGCTAATGACATGGTGTCATGTATATGTAGTGGAGATGAGGACCCAAATGCACACTCACAGACTGACAGAGTTAAACAAAAAATGAGCCATTTATTTGGACTGTTGACCAAAATACAAAAGATGAAACACAAAAATACAAAAGGGAACTAAAAAAGGCTACTTACAGAAACCTAAACTGGGAATAAACGCTAGGGAAAATGCCACTGAAGCTGGGAAACACAAGGCAAAAAACATCAACTGATGCTCTGCTCTATATATAGACGGCAACTACATATTTCTAAAAGGGTGACCAGGGGACTGGAAATAGAAAATAGAGGAAAACGAGACACAGCTAAACAGAATCAAAGCAGACGAGATAAAAGAAACAAAACTCTAGACGACAAACAAGGAACCACAACCTCCCAACAACAAACAGGAAGTGAGATAACTAAATAGGGAAAACACAGACATGACTAGACTAAATACAAGGGAAAAGACACAAGAGGATGAAACACTGGGAGAAGAGCTAAAGTCTAAAGCATGGATATCAAAAATAAGGCCCTGGGGCCAGAGTCAGCCTTCTGAAGACATTCGTTGCCATCAAAGATCATTTGATGCCTTTCTTTTTGTTAAATAAAAATGTATTTTATGCATGAGTAAATAAAACACCCTCTAAAACACTGATATTCAGTTGTTACTGGACACATATACATTGAGTTCATCGAACTTGATTTGCTGAAACAGTCGCCTCCTGGAGCTGGGACTGCAGGTTCCACTTGAGCTTGTAAATATGGTTGGAAACCAAAATAATGATCTAAAATAGGCTAAACAGCTGGAAACACCGCACATTACACAAAGAAAACAGGAGATGATAACAATAATAATAATGCATATATATTACCACACATATAATTAATGTATTTTTTTTCAGTTTTCCTTTTATTTAGTGTCTTTGGCCTGATTTATAATAAAGCCTTTCTGATAACTCTAATATGTTTTTATAGTTTTATTATCAAGGTGCTAATGTGGTCCAGATGCGCTTTCTGAGATTGCACAGTGGCACAGCTGTACAGAAGGTTACCTACTCCTGCCACCCAGGACACAGACTGGGCCCGGCCTACCGAGATGTCAAATTCCTCACTGACTCAAGGACACAAAGTTACCTCGGAGCAGTTCAAGATTGTGTGGTATGTAACAGAACTACTGAAAAATATCTTCCTATTTGACTTTTTTTCACCTCCTTTTTGCCAGATTTGCAAAAGGTTGGACAGATTAACTCAACATGGGCAGGGTGTAGAAGGACATAAAGCTCTGTTAATCCAAGATAGTTTGGAAGGAATTCCCAAAGGCCCAAAATAAAAAAAATTAATTAAAAAGTGAGAAAAATATCTGGCATCTGTATAAATGTAGTAGTTATCTGTAAGAGGAGTGAAGATATTTGAAGATACCACCTTTATACAAAACAAAAAATAAAATACTGTGTACTGTACTGCAGATCCTGAATGTTTTATATATAAGTAAATGGCATGTGGTTTGTGGAGCTCAATGTGCAAAAAATATATACAGTTTTCAAAAATCATGACTTGCTTATTAAACAAAGAAAAAAGAAGAAAAGTAGTTTCATGTAAAATGGCATAAATGTGTCAATCTGCTATCAGTTTGTGACTGAATGGGGTCAAGTTGACAATTACATGCAATCTGTTTGTGAGAACACAGTGATTAACTGTGATGAATTGGCAAAAAATCTGTATCGCTCTGCATATACAGGAATTTACATTAGCTAATTAGATTTAAAGTACAGCCAAAGCCTCACAGATTTGAGACAGAAATTCCAAAAAACCTTCACAAATAGGAGTTTGGTTACTGCAGTCGTACTGAAGCTGTATTTTTTGGTCCTGTTTATGTGCGTACATGTCATTCTGTCACTCTGTGTGTAAACACAATACCTTTAAAAGTTTTAAATAAATTCTGATACAACTTTGTTCAAGTGTACAGTGGGGTCAAAATTGACTTACAATACAATTTCATTTATATAGCACATTTAAAAAACCACAGGTATGCCAAAGTGCTTCACAGAACGAGTTAGAGCAATAATAAATACAAATACAAAACACAAAATACAAATAAAATATACTAACAGGCGGGTGACATAACTAACCAATAATACACCAGGCATAGTAGGCACAACCCGAAAGGCTGAAGGTTAAAACATTATTAATATTAATAAAGCGAAAAAGATAACTTACAGTACACCAAAAATGCGGGCTCTAGGAGGCAGGGAAAGCAAGGCTAAACAAATACGTTTTTAATCGAGATTTAAAAGATTGAATCTAATCAGACACCCGAATAGCTAGAGGGAGGTTATTCCAGAGGTAGGGTGCGACAGCGGCGAATGCGCGGTCACCTCTGGTCTTGAGCCGAGATCTAGGTCGCACCAGGAGCATTTGGCCTGCTGATCTAAGCGCTCTCCCAGGGATATAAAAGCTGAGGAGATCCGTAAGATAGCTGGGCGCGGTGTTATTTATGATTTTAAAAGTGAGCAATAAGATTTTAAAATCAATACGAAATTTAATAGGGAGCCAGTGCAGGTCGGAAAGAACTGGAGTAATAGACTCAAACCTGCCAGTTCCAGTTAAAAGACGCGCTTACAACCTTCAAGGTCAACTTAATGATTTATTGGTTGAAACTTGGCAAAAGGTTTAATAACTTAGAAACTATGATTCTTACAGTTGTGGTGTGTCAACATATAGAAAGTACCATGTACAGATTTCAATTATTATGTCACATTTGACCTCAAGGTCAATAGGTTGACCTAAAAGGCCAAAGTGATAATAACGCTATATCAAGTATTTTAAAACTGTTTCTTACAGTCATTGTTTATATTGACAACATGTAGGCGTATAGGGAATGATATATGAGGATTCTAAATATCGCAATATTTTATCATGACTTTGTTCTGTACATTACAGTTACAGGTTATAATCATTTAAAAACACAACAGTTTGAATACATGTACAATGACCCTGAATAAGATTTACTTTGGGGTTGTTGTTTTTTTTAAACAAAGTAAACTTCCTGATCAAAAACCTTTTTTTCACTTAATATTTATGACTAAACATTTAAGTGAATTTTACTAAACAATTAAATGAATGCTACAAATATAATATATTCACATAAATAAAAATAGTAAAAAAATATTTATATTCAAAATGATATCAGGTAATGGGTTTCAACTGGGAAAATAAGAAAAGGCTGCACTTTCTAATGCAATAAAAGTGCATTTCAATACTATTCCCTTAAAAAAGTAAATATTGGTCCGAGACTGAGCTGTGTGGGTGGGGGGTTGCACTCTCGCAGTTATGCTTGTTTCTTTGATCATAACAGAGAGAGTTTATGTATGTATGTATACCATTTATGTATATTCAATTCTGATCTCTACTTAGGGTTTACTACTGTAAATGTTCAAATGTAATCTATTTTTTGTTCATCAGCCTGGAGAGGAGATGGAGTCTGGTCCTCGGGAGTCTGTGCTGGAGTTTGAGGACCTCCATCTCCTTCCTCTGAGAGACGTGGCACTAATGGGAGGAGGAAACGCGACATACCAGTTTGGCCTCACTGTTGGACCTGTGTGTTTCAGTTAGAGATGGGAGAAAACTGTACCATCCCGGAAGATTCTCAGGTCCAGGACACAAACTCTCTTTAAATCATGGACAAGTGGAACCTTCCAGTCTGTGAAGTTTTTGCTTCTTTATCCTCTAGTGTTGGAGGATTTTATCCTTCAAGTTCAGTGACTTTGTATGACTGAATCTTTGAGGCCAATAGTGCCCCCAGGCTTTTTTTCATGGAGAAGGCAATTTCGTTTACAGAGACATTAAATAATTTAAGTGTATGTTTTTTGGGGTTTTTTTTACAAGCATCCTTTATACAGTGTTTTGTTTTTTGTTATGCAGTTATGCAGGGATAGTGTTACAGCTTGCTCACTGTATATATAAAACGTCAGACTGTCCTCACTGATGTCTATAACAATGTGTTCTTTACAGGGACACGGCTTCTGGTGTCCCATAGGCCTGTGAAGCTCTCACTGTAAATCCACTGTTCTAGTACTGTAAGTGAACCTAGGTGTCATTTTTCTCAAGGTGCTAATTTTATTCAAAAGACCACCATTTATTTAATACAAAAACCAATAGAAAGGGACAGTTATGTTACTTGATTTTACCTGTCTGTTGTCAACAAGACCAACTGTCTTCATCTCTTGAAATACAAATTATTGTTTATTGTTTTCAATGTTTAATGTTGCTATGTTTTTTTTTTTGTTTCCTTTCTTTAAATTTGTCTCAGGTATGACTACACATGTTGGCACTGAATCCAATGTTGCCACTCTGTTGTCCAGTTTTGTAGTTTGGCCTTTAAACCAAACCTAGAAAATCTTGATTTCAAACATTGGATAAATACACATAATCCAACAGTGATTTGCTAATGGTAAATGAAAACACAATATGTGATTGTCCACCCCTCATCTTGTAGCTAGAGATACTCACCAGAGAACTAAATGTGATGCAGCACGAGAAAAGACCAAGTATCATGGCTGTGCACAGAAACAGCCAAGAAACAACCAGACTTTCTAATATTTCCCATGTTTATGATCACTGCCGGCAAATATCTCTCAAAACAATATCTATGAAATGCATTTTATTCAAGAGTTTAATATGCATAACTTTGCATATAAGCAACACACAGTTTTGGTCCACATGCTCATCCAGCAAAGCTCTCGGCTACAAGGGGGAAATCCTCACTCAGCACAGCCGTATGGGGTGAGCTGGCCAGCCAGCCAGTGAAATGTCATCTCTGTTGTGGGCAAAAGACCTGCAACTGACAAATAAAGGCTATCTCATCTCATCTCAAATGTGGCCCTTTAGCGATGCTGGTGGCTTTTCTGACTTGTGGCGGCAACGCTGTGTGGCTTGTGATCCATTGGCAGTCGCTACAAGTGACTGTTAATCTATTTGCATCATTACTGAAGTAGAATAATTTACAGAACGGATACAATTTCAAATAGAAAATAAAGATAGATAAATGTTTTTGGACGCTAATATAGAAGTTTTTAAATTTTAGGAAACCAAAACCTTAAAAATCTTGGACAAATGTGTATTTCTCCACAGCTGAAAATAGCTGGAAAAAAAGTAATTATTAACTCCAGATTCATTTGTGGTTGTGCATAGTATCATGGTGGCATAAAAATTGTAGCGCCCGTATGTCTCCGGTAATTCCTCAAAGTTTTTTTTCTAACAGAATTCCACTTCAGTTTAGAGAAAAGCATGATTGGTGTAATGACAGTTCTTCTTTTGGCTGCTTAGGTGTCACCCCAGTGGATCATCTTCCTCCATCTCTAGCTCTCCTGTCACAGCAACCCTCTGCATGTCCTCCTCCACTATATCCATGAACCTCCACTGAGGTCAACTTCTTTTCCTCCTGCCTTCAGGAGCATCTTCAACATCCTTTGTCCAGTGTCCCTCCTTTTCACATGTCCAAATCATCTCAGCCTCACCTCTCTAACTTTGTCTCCAAACCGCTCAACCTGAGCTATCTTTCTGATGTACTCATTTCTAATCACGTCCATCCCGGCAAAAATCTTAACATCCTCAAATCCTGAAATCTGCCTTCTGTCATCTGTCTTTCTGTCAGTGCCACCATCTCCAAACCATGCATCATAGGTTTCACTACCACGACCATTAAATTTTGAGAAGATGTTTCCGCATCCAATAACTAAGTAGATAATTAAGTAAATAAACAAATTAGTAGTACATTTTGAATTGGGTTACACCTTGGAAACCATACAGGAAAAAAAAAACTAAATTGTCAGACAAAAGTGGGTAATAATCCAATACAGTTTACCATCACATAGACTGCATGCAATGAAAGCCTGCAAAGATATGACTGGTCAATGCAACTATAAGTGGAAACCAGAGCTTTCAGTACCAATCCCTTGGTACATTCTATATATTCATGTAGAGATTACCAGCCGTATTAAAGTTAATACTGGTTTCCAGCTCCATATTTGTAATTCATGTGCTTTACGACAGCAGCTTTGCATGATTCACAGTTGGAAAAAAATCCTTATTTACCTGACACTGATCCTTTGTGCAGCCTCAAACAGACTGTTTTGATTCCTTTCCCTTTAAGCCAGCTTTGTTGTGATTGGCTGTCCCTTGCAAACAGAATGTTCTGACAGCAAGTGGGTGGGTCTTCAGTGCTCACATCCAGAGCTTTGACTCAAAAATGACCATATTAATATTTATTCTGTCTTTGACATCACAGATCCAGTATAAGTAAAAGAAAAACAAAACAAAATGTAATCTAAGCATTTACAGCTCTCTCTAACACGTAGACCTCTTTTTTTTTTTTTTTTTTTTAAGAAATTACCATTTAATTTAAAAAAATTGAATCCACACTAGGTCTAGAAATATCCTGATTATCTAACTTACTGTTTGAAAGAAATCTCCGTCCCGGGTCATCCGTGGATCGGGTTTTCCTCCGAGACGTGGGCACCTATAAGCAGAGTTTTGTCTTTACCCTATAAGATTCAAAATTATTCAAAGTAACACTCAGGTATGCCGTTCAGCAGGTTAGTTACGACGTCGGGAGTAGCTTGGGAGAACAAGGAAACACAGACTGCTTCAGGTTGCCTTCCCAAACCAACTCAAAGGTTTATTCATCATACAACAGTTTATATAGAGGAAAAAGGTTCGTGTGTCAGCAGATTCTCAGTTCAAACCGGTACAGACCAAATAAGGAAGCGTCTTCCTGCCCTCTGAGCAAAGAAGTATCCTTTGTATAGTTTATCAGTTCAGCTACAATTTATGATTATCCCAGCAAAATACACTCCTAGACATAGAACACAGAGTTCTTTCATTAGTGAATTCTGAAACAAACCACCTGACCTTTAACAAGCCTTTTTCTAAGAGATAAAGAAGGGAGGATGGGAGTAAGGAAGTGATCTCTGTGGTATTTTCGACCTTGAGGTACCAGCCTGTGATTCTTACACATTAATTCTTGGGTCACAGAGAAAGAGAAAAACAACTAGTAAATGGGCCTTATTGAGTAACAGTTTTCCTGTATAATATCACTATAAAACAATATCCTGTAAATGCTACCATGGTATCAAAATATCACAACACTGTTTTCCTCCATTTTCTTTAATGTCTTGGACAAAAAACTGCTGGAATCTGACAATCTGTCACATTTTAAATAAATGTTTCATATCCTTCTCCCCCACACATGTAGTACATCAGAGTTTTTACCCTTTTAACATGGGAAATGTGACATTCAACCATGTGAGAAGTGTTATGCAAACCAAAAAGTGAGACTAAACACATATAACCAGTAGTAGAGTAGTACCCTGACCCTGCTAAGATTCTTTGACTCACTGTTAAACAAAATTACCCACTTAGCTTTGAGAAATTTCTGTTTACCTGAATTTATTCCTTATTCAGTCTGCAAAGTGCTTGGGTCCAGTGGCAGGAGGAAAATCTCATAGCTACTCTGCAGAATTTGTGCTTGTGTCCCAGAGTCGGTTCAGCTGTGAGTGATGAGCAGTGTGCTGCAAAGTGTGCACAGAGAGTAAGATGTCAGGGAGTTGGTGGTGAGAGCCCAAACAACATCAGTCCAACTGGAGAACTAAAAAAAACATCATTCTCAAACCAAAGTCTGCCGGGAACCAGAGAGCCAGAAGTCAACCAGATGAATTACAATTAAACATCTCAGTCACATTTGTTTCATTCTGGCTTTGTGTTAAATATGTAATATTTTCTTTTTTGTATTTAGATTTTATAATAGCATTTTATATGATTGCCTTAGCTGGCTGAGACTGATCATTCTTACTTTGCTTGTTTTGTAAAATTATCACTCTTAAAAATATGAAACAAAATGCTGGGCATCTAACTTGTGTGATCCCTCCATCAACTTGTTCAAAGTGTGTCAGCTGAATTAAAAAAAATACATATACATAACCAAATATTGTCTCAGTTCAATTTTATTATTGTAAGTTTTGGAATTATTTGGTCAGTGAAAACCATCCAACATATTTTGAGTGTTTTTGATGAAACTAAGGTAGGAAGCTATAATTCTTTGATATATGAGAGTGTTAGAGGACTTACTAAACAAACGTATCTGACTTGACAGCATTAAAAAAGTGAAATTAAATGTTTAATAATTTTTGTGCTCAACCAAACAGTTGATTTGTCACTTTGTGGTGCTAATGCTAACATAACCTAAATGTTATTAAAATTGATTATTTGCCATAAAATCAGCCCACTGGACCCATTTTATTTATCCATTGCTGTTGATAAATTACATGTTAGCACAGCAAGAATATGTTGAAATAATTTCCTCAGTAAGTAATTTTTGTAACTTTCCGAGTTAAGATTAGTAAATATGGTAAAAATCAAGAGTAACATGTGGAAATCAAAAATATCACAACTAATTACCGTTTGACCAAATTATAGTAGCTGGTAAATTAATATTATTAAGCTGTCAAAATTATAATTTCATGTTTAACTAGTACTATATGGACGCTAAGCAGTTAAAAGTCACATGCTCCTGTGGCAGATTTGTGAGCGGAGTCTCATGATATCATCCACCTTCAACCACAGTGTGTTTGAGGTCATGGTTTCATATGAAGCCAACGGGGCTGGCACTCTCCACCAGTATATTGCTAACAAACTAGATGAGTGGGGCTTTAAATTGTTCTGCCAAGCAAGTTCATCTGGCATCATCCACGACTTGCTGCTGTATCAAGGGGGATCTACATTCTTCAATGCTCCCCTCAGTGAAAAGGAACAGAAGCTACCTCTAAGGGGCCAAAGTTGTAGAAATCACTATGCAAACCCATAAAAGAACCTGAGGTCTTCACAAGTTTCAGCTTGGTCCAGAACTTGCACATGTCCTTGGGTGTCAGGTGCATTGGTACTGTATGACCAAACTGCACCGGTGGAGCTCCCCTGATGGCAGACAAAGACCTGATGAAGAAGGGCCATGGAGCCTGTGATTACAGGTCTGATGAAGGTCTGATTGCAGTAAAATGCCTCTTTCATTGGTCAAACGGTGGAGCAAAGAGTCCAATGCAAAGATCACCATTTGATGCCCATCACTCATCCCTGTATATAATTAGCATATGGGAGGAACTGAGCTTTCTGATATGCTATAACACCTGTATAAGACAAGTTATAAGTCACAAGTTAAGGAGATGGCATATGCCACTGTTTGGATACATCCTTGACTTGAATTCCTGGTCTACAAGAGGGACTGTGCCCTAGTGGACCAGAAACCGATGGCTCTCAAAAGGTTTGTGCCTGGCTGTGTCTGAACCAAGTTAACAAGCCAGCATCTACAGTTGGACAACCATGATTCAGCTCTCCATGACCACAGAATAAATGCTACACCCTAAGACCCCAACGACCAAAACCAGTAGATGTTCTTGATTTGCACAGTTTTTGTTTTGTTTTTTTAAAAACAAAAATTATTTTGCACAGTAGCATTCAATCAGAAGTAGCCTGAATGTGAGTATTTTGTGCTGCTGCACATTTTTCACAGTTGCAGATTTAAAAAAATATGTATTTTGTTGTTTGATATAATACTTTCCTTTGATGGAATGAATACTTTAAAAACTATAGGGTCTATTGAAAAAAAAATTTGATTGTGGTTATTACTCACCCAAGTCAATAAGAAATGTAAACAAAAAAAATTGTTCCATTGCTCTTTTCTTAGTGTGGACCTTAAAGGGTTAAAATTTCAAGTTATGGCCTTGTAACTCAAACTCCAAAGTGAGACAATAACTTGAAATTTCAAGTTAATAAATTGAAAAATTCAGAGAAAGATCATACTGGATAAGGCATTGCACTTTAAGTCACAGAAAATTAAATATACAAAACAAGTTCACAAAAAATAAAGAAAAAGATATTATAAATATCTCAAAATCAAGGTCTCTATCATGAAAACTGCTCATAAAACTGACAGTAACAGATGAGCAGTGGCATGTGAAATCATTTCTTTTTATTATTTTAGAATGTATATAGTGGATGCGTTCATATAATGTGGTACTGAAGTTCCCCTGCTTTATTTATTTCTTAATAAATGATTAAATTTGGAGTCATTTTTTAGAAGATCTAATTATGACGCTGAAATTTTTCGAATGTAAATCAAACGTAACTAAAACGGAAGTTTGTTTCCGCCACTGAATTACTAAATAAACAAACTTCAGGGTTGTACTGTTTAAACTAAATAAATTTCTAAAACGATGTTACTAAAAATACTACACAATGTGTTCAATGAAAAAAAAAAAAGCTAAAATAAAGTTAAATGATGACCTGAAGCATAAAGCCAAATTCGTTAAGACACCGGGTTGTTACGGGTTAATTCAAACAATCTCAGATCACGTGCGCACATCACATGACCTACCTCGTCAGAGCTTGTCAGGTCTTTTCCGTATCTCCCTCTGCTTTCCTATCTCTTAACTTCAACCGTATTTCCTCCAGTTTATTTTGCTTGACATTTCATGTGGCAGCGGGTCTTATTGTGTGTTGCTCGAACACAGGACTGTGCTGCATGTTTGTTAACCTGCGTCTTGAATAAAATTTCGCTCCGTTCAGAAACGACCCGAAGAGCCACAGCTAGCCTCTGGTAGCACGCTAGCAGCTGTTCAGTTTTGGGGATAATAGCGTCGCTGTGAGGCAGCCAACCAGGCACAAAGGTGAGAGGGAAGCAGCTGAGTGTTTGACTTCTGACTTGGACTCTGTGGTGTTATTTGCACAGCGTGACAGCGATGTGAGAAAAACTGGATTAACGTCGAGTCTTTTACGCTTTAGCTAGCATGGTGTTAAAAGGAAAAAGATGACTCGTACTGCCGTACACACACTTACTTGCATCTTGATGATTGTCCTTAAAAGAATTACAGAGCATGTTAAAGTTTGGGTTTTTAAAATCCAGAGTTTTTATACTGCTTCCCAAAACATCACCAAGGAGCATGCACACACTACATCTCTTATGTGGGGGTGTATTTGTGCTGACACTGTCAGCACAAATAGAACTTATTTTATTGTTTATGAGTCCATCAGAAGAAGCAGCATAGTAAAAGGCTTGCATGTCAGGTGTACAAAAGCTGTCATGAAGCTGACTAATCTAATGTAAGCCAGCATGCTTACAGTTCTTACAATTGCAATGTGAAAGAATGTGTAAGGGAAAAAATGCTGAAACTGATGGATTTTACATTTACATTCCACTTTATTTTAGGGAATAGTCCTAACTTCGTGTGTTCTTCATTTCTTAGGGCAGGTTCTATGACATACGACCATCAACCCCGATCAGAGGATGTACCCGCCTTCCAGAAAGGACTTCATCTCTCTGACACTCAGCGACCCACACAGTCAGAACTACAACAATGGCAAACACCGAAGGCAGTCCTGCTGGAGAGTGAGTAGTCCTGTAATTTGATATACAGAGCTCGGCTGACGAATGAACGTGAAGTTTCTTAAAGATTTTAGAAACATGAAACAGGAATGCACGTATAATTATCTAAAACGGTGCCACCTAAAGAGGATTTTTAGGGCATAGGACTAGGAGTGACTTGGAGGCTGGAGTCGGCACTAAAAACTGGAATGAGAGGGTTAGAAAAGATAGTAAAGGCAAATAGCTAAAAATGTCAAAGTGGTTGAACTAGGCTTAAAAACACAAACACACACACACACACACACACACACACACACACACACACACAAAGGGAAAAGGAGAACCAGGTGCTGATAGTACACTGCAGAAAGTCTCAGACTGTCTTAGCGACATACATTGCTGGATGTCTCTGAACTTTCTCAAACTAAATCATGACAAAACCGACATTAACTCATTCACTGCCATTGACGTCTATAGCCGTCAATTGCAGTGAATGAGTCAATGGGTTTAACTCATTCACTGCCAATGGCTGGCAGTGAATGAGTTAATTAATCTTCGGTAAGCAGGACTCTATTAGTCTCATAAGAAACAATTTGGGCCCATTATCAGCTAATGTACATCCCCATGTAAAAAATCTTGGTTTAATTTTTGATTCCACTCTCAAGCTGGAAAAGCAAATGAATTCAGTTGTTTGTGGCAGTTTTTTCCAACTCAGGAGCATTTCTAAACTCAAAAATATCCTGTCATCTAAAGACCTGGAAACTGTTATCCATGCTTTCATATCGTCACGTCTTGACTATTGTAACTCTCTCTATTTAGGCATTTGTCACTCAAGCCTGACCCGCCTGCAACTTGTTCAAAATGCAGCCACAAGGCTCCTGACGGGTACTAGAAAGAGAGAGAATATTACCCCAGTACTCGCATCTCTACGTTGACTACCAGTTAAACATAGAATCGATTTTAAGGTTTTACTATTTGTTTTTAAAGCTCTCCATGTTTTGGCTCCAGGTTACATTTCAAATTCAAATTTTATTTGTCACACACACAACCATACACAGTATGACATGGGGGTGAAATGCTTGTAGCTGTGCAATGCCCGACCATTAAATGAAGTTAACTTAGAAATTTACAGTAAAAAATGTGCAAATAGCAGAAAGAGATTATAAAGATTATAAATAATAGGAAATGTGTGGTGGTGCGTGTGGTGATGTGATGTGTGTCCAGTCTTATAGTGATGTGTGTGGGAGAGTCCAGTCCTACACCTGGTTCAGGGCCCGAATAGCCTGGGGGAAGAAGCTCCTCCTCATTCTCTCTGTTTTGGCCTTAAGGGAGCGGAAGCGCTTCCCAGACCTCAACAGTGAGAAGAGTCCATTGTTGGGATGGGAGAGGTCCATCATAAACTTCCTAGCTTTGGACTTGCACCGCTTGGTGTAGATGGACAGCAGGTCAGGGAGCTCTGATTGAATGATGCGTTTGGCCGAGCGCACCACTCTTTGCAGATCTCGTCTGTCCTGCTTGGTCCTGTTCCCAAACCAGATGCAGGCCGTCAGGACGCTCTCGATGGTGCAGGAGTAGAAGTTCTTGAGCACCTTCAGTAGCAGATGGAAGTCTCTAAGTCTTCTGAGGAAGAAGAGACGCTGACGGGCTTTCTTAACCAGGGTGTTGATGTGACAGGACCATGACAGGTCCTGAGTGATGTGAACACCCAGGTATCGGAAACTGTCCACTCTCTCCACTGGCGTGCCACTGATGATGAGGGGTTTGTAATTCCTCGCCTGCTTTGTAGTGAAGTCCACGATCAGCTCCTTAGTCTTGCTGATGTTTAGGAGGAGGTTATTCTCCTGGCACCAGGTCTCCAGGTTCCTAATCTCCTCCAGGTAGGCCGTCTCGATGTTGTCGGAGATCAGGCCCACAACAACAGTGTCGTCAGCAAACTTGACAATGGAGGTGGTGTCGGATGTGGCTACACAGTCATAAGTGTACAGTGAGTACAGCAGGGGGCTTAAAACACAGCCCTGAGGCACTCCAGTGCTGAGTGAGATGGAGGGAGAGACTTGTTTTCCCACCCTCACTGATTGGGGTCTGTCTGTGAGGAAGTTGAGGATCCACTGACACAGTGATGAGCTGAGTCCTAGATCCGTCAATTTGGTGTAAAGCTTAGAGGGAATTATTGTGTTGAATGCTGAACTGTAGTCCACGAACAGCATCCTAACATAATTCCCTCTGCCAGTGCCCAGGTGACTCAGGGATGTGTGGAGCAGGTGAGATATGGCATCGTCCGGTAAGCAAACTGAAGTGAGTCGATGGTGGCAGGAAGTGAACAATTTCAGATCTTCTTAGCCTGCACTTACCCACTCGATCTCTGCGCTCCTCCAGTCAGATGGTTTTATCAGTTCCACGCTCCCAGCTCAAATCTAGAGGTGACAGGGCTTTCTCCATTGCTGCCCCGAGACTCTGGAATAGTCTTCCCCTCTTCATAAAATCCTCTTCATCCTTGAAGTCTTTAAATCGAATCTCAAGACCTACTTATTTTCTAAGGCTTTCGGATCTCTTTGATATCTTTTTTTTATTCTGTCTATTTGGTCTCTTATCTTATTGGATGATGTTGTATGTGTATGTACGTTATGTTCACATATGTGTGCTTGTGTGAATGTGTACAGTTTTGTAGATGTATGTGCATATTTGCATGTACATTATATGCTATATACTCTTACATGTTTTACAATTCTTTTTAAAATGTTTTCTTTCTATTTAAATTATTTTATTATATTATCCCTCTGTTCAGCACTTTGGCCGACACTTGATGTTTTTTAAATGTGCTATATAAATAAAGATGACTTGACTTTCAAACTAAAATGATGAAGCTGAGACATGTACAGTGATTTGTCAATCAGGAACAGATTGGAAATTGTTAAATATACATCGAGTTAAAGAAGCTACGGTAGAGACACAGGTTAGTTGGTTGTGCTGGCAACAACACGTCAGGCCACACGCTTAAAAGAAATATCAGTATATGGAAATAATTTATTTGTGCTTTGATAACCAAAGTGTTCAGTAATCCTTTTAAGTGTTTGTGAATGCAAAGTGAATCATGTTTTGTGACTAGAGTTACAATACCAGCTTTTAATAGCTCAAAGCACTTTAGAGTTTTAGGACTAGTGTGTTAGACAGCAGTACACACCATCATCATCATCAAAACTCCAAACAAGTAAACCTTTTATGTGAACTAGTGCAGTGCCCTTTCAGGTAGAGTTGAGTTCAGGCCATGTTGTTTTTTGTAGCCTCAATTTTCTCCTAAATGCATCAAATGCAGGCAGTCATTTTGTAAAGAGGGCAGATGTAATGATACTTGATGGCTGTGTGCTGTTTTGTGTATGTGTGATATTGTGCAGAATCACTTATCTAAACAACATAAGTAATGATCTCCCAGAAAACTACAGACTCAAGATAAAGAAAATAATAATGGTAACCTAAAAAATAATTTAAATAAAGAATGTAAATAGAAACATAAACCAAAAGTATTGATGTGTTTTCTTGGCCTGTGGGGTGTACTACAAAGGAAGTTTAACAGATCTGGGCTTTCCTTGCTTTAACTGATTTAACAAAACCTAAAACCCCATTCGATAATTTGCTCCGTTAATTTGGGTTTTCAGCTTCAGGGTCTGTGTGTGCACACATAAAAGTCAATCTGTCATACATCATGTGACACTTCTGACGCACAAAAAGATCCCTGCGAATGCCACCTCCTCCAATCACAGACGTTAACGAATGATGATGATAAAATGCATCAAAATCTACAGAGAACATAACAGTAAACAATAAACTTAGATTAATAGTATTTTCTGGAGCTTCTTGTGATTTGACAGCAATTAAAAAAACATTTTCATTCAAGTTAATGGTTTTATTTCTGAATATGCTCTTGGCACTGCTGCTTACTTACAAGTTGATGGCTGTAAGTTCTCAGACTTTAACGGTTTAAAGGTTACTGTCTCATAGCTTAATAAAGGAGACGTGGTTTAGCTTGTTGGCAGATCAAAGTGAAACTGACTTTACTGACTGAACAGATATTCATAGCGTGCGTTCTATGTCCTAGTGAATGGCATTTGGTGACTACAGGCAAATAACCACTAGCTACATGAAGTGGGCAAGGCATGAGATTAGTTCCTGGTTAATCACTGAACTACCAGTGTGCATGCAGGATTAAGCTGGTTGATGTATGGTAGTAGTAGAAACTTTAGGGGGTTACAGAGGCAACCGGCACCTGGAACATTTGGAGTGAACTTCAAAACAATGTGCAGTGAGTGAATCGCTTCCAGTGTGGGAATCTGATGCACAGTTTACACTGCTGCAACTTTGCAGGTTCATTCATCATATTAGCAAGGTAGATGGCTTAACAGATTGGCGAACACAAAATGTATTTGCCCTGCAGATAATCTGTAAACCTACTGCACTTAAAACATGTAAATAAATGATTTGGCTAAAAGGCGGCCAGATAATTCTTAAACCAAAATTCTGAACATAACTTGCTCCGACCAGGTTATATGTTCATCATAAGTTGCCCCAATAATTTAGCCTGGTAAAAAGAAAGAGAACCACTTGTGTGATGCATAAAACTCAGACTTTAAGATCCAGATAGATTGCTAAGTCGTTAATCTTGCTTTGTAGGAACCACAAATGCTGAGCCTATTGCACGCAGATAATCGCAAAGCTAGGAAATGAGACACGGGTGGAATAAGGAGAAAAGATGAAGACAAGAAGTCGCAGGCAATACACAAAGCCCAGTTATTAAAATAAAAGGGGCGTTAGAAACAAGGAAGGACAGGGAACTAACATTTAGGCAAACCAGAGGGAGATGACAACAAGGAAACAATTGGAATACTGGGAAAATATGAACGTGGAAACACAAGAATGAATGTTAGTAAAATACAAACGGCGATTAAAAGACAACAAATGCACAGTCCCCCTAGTGGAGCAAGCAGCAGCCAGTGGAGGGAAAACACTGGTAGCTGACATCAGCTTTGAAC